CTTACAAAGATACACGCTCAGCTCATTAGCACCCGGCTGGATCACTTGGGTCTATGACTTCTTGAGAGCAGGGATCTCCGGGGACGGACCCCTCGCCGGACGCTGCCTGAAAAGATCTTAATGAATGGTGCTTGGGATTGCTATAATGTAATATGTTGTATACCTAAAAAAATTCAACCAGGGTCCAAACAGCGGTTAGGCTGTCGGACTCTGGTTTTCCCCCAGGGTTGTAAAATCCCTGTAATCAGCGCTGCCCCAAGCGGTTCATCGGCTTACAGGCGGGGATATGTGTCTTCGTCGTTGACGACTGGTGATGTGTACCATGACTTTCAGGTGTGTATCCCAGACTTTTTTCTTTTTCCTGAAACGAGGCGTCAAGATGGCTGTCAGAGGGATTCGAACCCGAGTTGAACTTTCGCGCTGACTGATCTAACGGTTTTTTAACGTTTGGTCACCACAGTTAGTTTCACGCACGGGTTCGAATCCCGGCAACTCACTTTCCCAAGTGCCCTTAAGTTCTGTTGATGCAGGAGCGTGTGGTTGTGGGTAGATTGCGTACGGGTTGCGCGCGTGCGTGTGCGTGGGCGCAAAGCTGAAAGAAGCGGACAAGCCCGCGGCTTATTGTCCGCAAGGGTTCTCATCCCTCCGCATGTGCATGCATGTGGGGGGTGACGAGTACAACAATTTTTTCTGCCTGCTGACGCGAGAACGACGGACTGCTGTGCCGAACCGCGCGCCAAACACAGCTGAGAAGGGTAACCGCCTGCCCCGTACCTGCTGCGTGTAACGAACGCCGACTGGTTCCGGTCCAATCATCATGTAATGTGGTGCTTCAGCAATAAAAGAACATTTCACGCCACAATCCAACCAAACCCCACTGACCAACGAGGAACAGACTTGCGGGAAAAATGGGAACGTACCCAAAAATGAGAATGGGCGTTTGTTTTTAGAAAGCATACCACGCCTTTGCAACTCCCCAGTGCTGTAGGTCTTTACAGCAGCTTTCGAATGAGCTGTTGCTCAAGCTGTATGTCCTCGGCATCGCCGAGGTAGCCAGCATCGCGAGAAATCAGGTCGAAACCAGCACGAATCGCTTTTTGCGCCCGTGAGAAGGCGTGATGTGGAGCATGGCGGTTCTGATGAGCTCATCTCACAGCTGGGGCGAAGGGGTTTCGCAGGATAATTTTGGTTCTGTGATACACCCGATGGTTCTGAAGAAAAACGCCAATTCTCATTTTTGGGTACGTTCCCATTTTTCCCGCAAGTCTGTTGAGGCTTGGTGATGGTCGCGACAACGGCGATGTAGCCAGAGGGCTCTCCGCTCGTTCAAACTCACTTGATCCCGCATTAGTTTTTCTTGGACCCCATGGCTCGGGAAAACAATTTATCATTCTGGCAGGGTGGCAAGAGGTTTCCGGTTGAGGAATGCCCACGGTGGTGTTGGAACTGAACTATGGCGACTGTCGAGGAGTCGGGACCACCCACACCCAAACTTAGTAGAATACGCGGGAGCCAATCAGATGGAACCAGTTCCGGCATTAAACACTACCAGCTAGCTGCAGCGCCTGTTCGTGTGCTTGGATACGGACTGGTTAGATCTACCGGCAACAACAGAGGGCACGCAGATGGGGCATATGTACACCTTGAAATGGTTGCATGTGCGGGGACCCCTCGAACTCCAAAGAGGGCTTCACTTCTCCCTACTCCCTTCGCGTGTCTAATACAAGAGATGAAACGTCTTCCCTTTCCAAGTGAAGGGCACATACGAACACACTAGTGTCAATCCCTCGAGGGAGAGTCCATTAGGGATGTCAGGTCGCAAAGATGGGGGTGACTCCTCCAGCGACTCCGCGGTGGAAGATAGAAAGAGGTCAAGAGAAGAGCTCGTGGCCTGAGGACGCAAGTTAGCTCGCTGACGGATCAGATGAGCCAGCTAATGTCGCTAGTGGAAGATACCACGAAGGCAAGCAAGAAGGAGGAGCAAGCTGGCACCATGGAGGGTGCCGCTGATCGCGGCGATGCTAGGGAGAGCGNCCTCCAGCGACTCCGCGGTGGAAGATAGAAAGAGGTCAAGAGAAGAGCTCGTGGCCTGAGGACGCAAGTTAGCTCGCTGACGGATCAGATGAGCCAGCTAATGTCGCTAGTGGAAGATACCATGAAGGCAAGCAAGAAGGAGGAGCCAGCTGGCACCATGGAGGGTGCCGCTGATCGCGGCGATGCTAGGGAGAGCGCCGCCGCGGAGTCCACGAACGCCGAAGGAGGGGCACCGTGGACCGGGAGTGCGCAGGACGGGAGGTACCTGCGCGAACCTGTTCGAGAGTCTGGCCCGTCAGGGCGACACAGCGGCGAAGCAGGGGGCTTTGTTCCCCAAGAGGTGAGGGTAGCCGCTGCTCACAACCAAGGTTATAGAAGTGCCGTGGGAGATGGTGGTGGTGCTGTTGGCTTTGGATACGGAGCCACAACCCCAGCGACGGGGTACCAAAGTGTGCGGTACACTTCTCCTCCGTTCAGCGGGAAATCGAAAGATTTCAACGAATGGCTAAATGATTTCCGCATGGCAGCTAATGGCGCAAACCTGTTGGAACAATTTGAAGAGAGCGGGAGCTTGGAGATCCCCGTCAACAGCGGCAAGAGCAAGTTTTCGCTGTCACAGCAGTACCGGAGCGAGCAAGTAGAGCTCGCATTCCACGCGTGAAACTTCGTGTCTCACGCGTTGAAAGAAAAAGGTCACAAAATCATGAAGAGGGCAGAGACGCCCCAGGGAGCTCTTCGTGAGCTCAAGACTATACACGACCCTGAATGATCTGTACAGCCGTCAGAGAACCTCAAGTC